GGAGGGGAAGGCCCTCTATGAGGTGGATTGATTCAGTGACTGGGATAATCGGGATGGGTGTATCAGAGACAGTGCGATTGGCAAAGGACAGAGCAGAGTTTAGGGCTGTTGTACATAGGGTCGCTATGAGTCGCAAGCGACTCGACGGCACATAACAACAACAGCAACATATATGGCAGTTGCCTACCACTTAACTAACTAGTTGATACTGCAGGAATGAGTTTGAGTGGTATCTTGATTAAAAAGACAACTATTGTTAGGTGCCTTTGAGTTGAGTACAACACTATAAACAAGACACCTGAATCCTGTCCTATCCTCATCATCCTCTGATACATCTGAGCTCATTTCTGCAGTGTCTGTGTCAATCCACCTAATTGAGGCTCTTCCTCTCTTTCACTGACCCTGCATATTTTCAAGATACTGTCTCTTTCCAAGGAATAGCCTTTCTTAGCAACATGCCCAAATTATGAGAGACAAAGTTTCTCTATCTTTGCCTCCAAGGAGCAATCTAACAGCACTTTCCTCAAGATATATCTGTTGTGTTTTTGTTTTTTTTGGTAGTCCATGGGATATTCCATACTCTTTTCCACACCACAACTCAAAGGCACCAAATTCTTCTGTTATCCTTATTCCTTGTCCAGCTCTCAGATGTGTAGCAAGTGATTGAAAAGACCATGGCCTGAATCAAGTGTACCTTAGTCTTCAGATTGGCATCATTGTTCTTCAGTATTTTTAATAAATCTCTTACAGTAAACTTGCCCAGTGCAATACATCTCCTGATCTCCTGACTGCTGGTACCAAGGGTGGTGTTTGTTGATCTAAGCAAGATGAAATTATTGACAACTTCAGTCTTTTCTCTGTCTATTATGATGTTGCCTAAAATGACAACTGTAGCCAACCTTATAAATTAAGATCTGTTAGATTAGACATACCTCTTATTTGGAGACCTACTTGTTGTTATGGCAACTTGTTAGGAGCCACCAGTCTCTTAGAAAAATACATCATGCTTGCAACTACTGTGGTAGGCGGTATGGCGCTTTCTCAAAAAGTTGCAAATAGAGATACCATTTAACCCAGCAATTCCACTACTGGGAATATATATATCCCAAAGAGACCATAACTGACATCCAAGCAGATATATGCACACCCATGTTTATCGCAGCTCTGTTCACAATAGCAAGGAGTTGGAAACAACCCAGGTGCCCATCAA